CTGCCAGGCTACCAGGGAAGCATGAAGGATCTGTCTGTGGGTTTATTTTTGTAGTGAGTTTAATTCAGCGGTATCGGCAAAGACTCGATTGTCAAAGTAGATCTTCTCTGACACACAAAAAGCAGCATGGAAGCCTGGAAGCCACCTGGATCTCCTAATCCAGGTCAGCTGGCACGGCTTGTATCTCCAGGCTGGGTTCTCATGGAGGCCAGAGACCCTGGCCACACTTGGTGCGAGTTCAAAATCTTCCGAACAGCCAAGATGAGTGTTGTGCCTAACCAGGGATCCTTAATTTGGACTCATTCCCTTGGCTGTGAAATTGACGCCTAGAGCAAGGAACACCACCCGGGACATGCAGCACCCTGTGACTGCACCTCCTCATTCCTACCAAGCCCAGCAGCCAGCTCCAACCGCAGCTCCCTGAACTCCACTTCCTCATTTTGCCAAGGGAGGCAGAGTCGGCCAAGCATTTCCCCAGCCAGTTTCTCTTGCGATGAAAGCCACAGCCAGAAGCCCACCATTCTGCCCACAGAGCCTCTCCATCATCCAGGCAAGCCTCAGCCCCACACCGAGCCCAGGGAGGTATGAATCACATGCACACACAGGACACTGTGGGCTCTGGACACAAAACACTCCAGGAAGCCACTCCCACACTAAGAAGGGAGGACCCGGATAAACAAAAGAGCAAGCTGAGATGGGTTGGGGGGACCAAAGGAAAAAGAAAAGAAAGGCATAGAAAAGTAATTAAAAAACCAAACCAAAACAAAACCAAAAAAACTGATGGTTTTGCCCTCTTCACAGACAGGTAAACCAGGACTTACCTTTAGGGCAGAGCCTCGAAGCTTTCTGATGTTGGGGCTGCCAACCAGGTGGACGGTCTACTCCATTGCCAGGGGCCTTGAGCGAGTGTTGCTTTGGTTTCTTTCATGAGTTGCTATTGGAGACACAAAACAAAGTGCCTGGCGGGCACTATAAAAAAAAATGTAGAAGAAATACAGGAGGCTTGATCATCCAACAGGCAGTTAGGTGTTTTTAACCAGGGGCGTGGGGAGGGGAATACACCACGAGCTTTCATTCTTCTTCCCTGAGCGAGGCCTCTGCTCGTTCGGTCACCGACTTCTGCTTATATTCCACTCCTGCCTTTGGAAGTTGTGCTTCGCCAAGTGGAGAGCGAGGAAAAACCAGCAACAAGGAAACAGTAGCTCTGCCCGAGCAGAGGAGGAGCCCAGGAGGCGGCCGCTGGCCAGGGCCCGCGCTGGAGGGAGGCCAGACAAGGGGCAGGCGCGTTTCTCGGGGACGGCTGACATTTTCTCGCAAGCAGAGAGGAAGACGGAAAGGTCAGGGAGGAGAAATGGGAAAGGGGTCTGCCGCAGGAGGCCACAGCTCCACCGGGCACAGAAAATGCAATCATCTCCCATTGAGGAACTTCTCCCCCCAGTGGCTTGCGTTTAAACAGGATATTACTGCGATTTCTTTGATTTCCCTTCTCCTGCTCTCTCTCTCAAAAAAGTCTGATTCTAATAATAGCTAGCATACATAAATAATAACTTTTAATGTTATTGGCCCTTTGTTTCCAAAACCAGTGTTCTGCTTCTCTTCGTTTTGCCAATAAATAGGAAAACTGAGGAAATCAACTCTGCTCATGTCAAAAAGACCCCCGCCCCCCAAAAAGAAAAAATCCACCTAATTTCCTATTTCTAGGGAAAATAAATAGCACATAGCCATGCCACGTCTCTGGAGCACTCGCACTCTCTTTTGTTTAGCTTTGTTTCAGTAGTTGGTGCTTCCGTTGTACACACCCAGAATAGAGGGATGGCAGTGGAAAGGGACGTGTGGACGGCGGGAGGAAAAGGCAAGGATAGGGAAAACTTAAGAACTTAAGTCGTCTTTCATTAAAAATATATATATATATATCTCAGAACCAGAACAATGACCAGAGTCAGAGGGGTGGCTGATTGCCCAGACAGTCTGTTCCACGGGCTTAGCAGCGGCCCTTTTTATCTGCTGTGGGCGAGCCCCGGCCACCGCGGCGTCCTCGACAGGAGCGAGGCTCTTCCAAATCGTCCTCGTCAAAGCCGTGGAAAGTTGAGGTGTCACTTTCTGACGTGGAACCGAATAAGTCCTCCGTGGTGCGTGCTGCGGCCGCTGCCTCCTTCTCCTTCCTGCCTTCTCCTCCCAAATGAGCTGACATGTATGATGAATATATCAGCACATGGGTTAAGCAACAGACAGCATCATTAATATTCTCATTACGTTATTACAATGTTATTCTTAATAGCAAGATACCGAGCCATTGTCACACCAAAACGGGTTAACCAGGTACATCACCTACGGATGGGATTTGGGACAAAGCACGCCTTCCCCTCCCCCGGAAAGGCAGCATTTCTACCATAACACACATGTCCACAGCTTCTGACAGCCAGAGGAGCGACAGGATCTCTCCTCTTCCTCAGCACACAGACGCATGCGCGCTCGCTCAACCCTGCCCCAGACAATGACTGTCTCGGTGGTTTTAAGCCTGGCTGGCATTTCTTTGGTGTTTTCAGCGGATGCTGCTCTGAACAGTGTTTGTCCATCACTTTGACAGTTAGCTTTACAAAGGTATTGCTATCAGATAACCCATTCAAGGTGGTTAAGTCCGTCTTATTTTTATGTTTCCTTGCTTCTCATCCCATTCTTTCAGGACCCTTTCAATTCTATCCTTACACCATGAAGTTCATTTGCACTGAAAGCAAAAAGAAGTTGCAAAGGCTGGTATTGGTAAGTCGTCGAAGAGTTTCACATTGCCTTTAACCGGTGGAGGAACTGCGACCTGCACCCACACACAAGTGTGCGCACGCACACACACCACACACACACTCCGGCCGCTAAACACGCCCAGGTCTTAGATACTCCAGAAGGGTCAGATCGTCTAATCTAACTCAAAACATTAAGAAGGTGAGAAATAAGAGCCACAGGCCTAATAAAACACAGGGTCTTACAGTCAGTAAAACTCAGTTTTAAACTCGTAAATAGTTTAATGGGCTCCAAGCTGCCTCCCCAGACAGTAATGATGCGCCTCTTTTAGGGCCAGTTGCAAGCATCCCACTTTATCCCCGGAAACGGAAGCAGTGGAGCAGGTGGGCAGGAAAAAGCAGCTTCTCCAAGCTCCACGCTCTTCTCTGGAAAGACCCCAGGGAGGCCCCGGGGAAGTACTCGCCCACTTGCCTTAACAGGTACAGGCTAATGCCACCTGTGTGTTCCCAAAGGATCAACTATTTCAGGAACATCAGAGTCACACCTCGACTAAGTGATACACCAAAATTAATCCTCGGCAACTGCAAAGAAAATGTCTACCCTCGTTAAAAAAAAAAAAAATGGCCCCCTGAGTCACATAGCAGACAGAACATAGAAAAGGAAAGCCGAGTGAAGGTTGTAGAAAGATAGGCTGAGTGTAGAATAAAACCACCACCCCACTTCTGATGCCCATGGATCAGATGCAAGTGCCCCACCTTTCACAAGATAGAAAAGGGGGAAATTATAGTAGTTTGCAATGAGAATGTGAATGTGCTGTCTCCGATCCCATCTGAACCTACAACAGCCCATAATGTCCTATTTCGAGCAGCACTCCACCAAGTGACCTTCTTCAGGGAGTAGAGATTTTGTCTGATTGCTTGCCCTTGGAAAACACTGAGTTAAATTTCATTTGTTTTATTTTCTTTTTGAGAATCTAAAAACCAGAGTTCACAATCACCAGGCCCCTATCTTCTAAGCTAGCACCAACAGAGTGAAAAGTTCGATGTTAGGTATCACGTTTGTACTGTATATGAGTCGACAGAATTGCCCAAAGGGCCACCCTGGCAGGATCCCTGAGAAGTAAGTGTTGAGGGTTGTGTGCAGTGGAAACCAAGTCCTTTTTCTGTTACCAGCTTCCCATTCAAGGCAGTCTCGAGCCCTAGAAAATCCTGACTTCAAAATGTAAAAGAGGTAAAGGGAAGATTTTTCAAATAGAACCAGGAAGAACTGAGTTGCTGCCGTAAACCAAGGTATGTTCATCTCAGTCCTTGTCTTGGGGCTGGGAATGGAAATGAGATTAGGTCAAAAGGTGGTGAGGAGTAACGACTCCTCATGCTGGAACCAACCAAACTGCTTCACCAAGTCAGTAACTGATGAGACTAATGGTGCGTATCAAATCCTCTCTCCCCTTCTACTTTGGTCTAATTATAACACAGAACAATACGAAAAATAGGTAGCACTAACCAACCACGCGTGGTCAGCCAAAAACTAATGGATTGGTTAGAACTGAAAACTGAAATAATAGGAAAGACCTGAACTTATTTTAAGAATGAAAGGAGTCTCTTTTTGATATTTTAGTTTCTGGGATATATATATATATACCAAGTGAACTCCAGATTGGCCCCAGGAATGCAGGGATGCCTACCCTTTTGCCTCCTTGATTTATAAGAGTCTCTTTTTTCTCTTCCACAAGAAAATGACATGAGTGGTCAGTGAAGGTGGTACATTTATGCAGCTACCCAGGAGCCCAGGGATCCCTGATTTCCACAATTCACAATGCGGCTGCTTTCTCAATGTTCATATATTCACGCTCTCCTGGATTGCCCCCAGGTACTCCCACAGAACAGACATATCTTTTCATAACATGTGCACCATCCGTTATGAGGAAGCACGCTGCACGAAAGCATGCATCTCCAGGTTTCTCCACTCTACTTTGCTACTGCCTACAACAATCCACACAAAGTAATGCCCACCTCAAAGGCTAGACACAAGCTACAACTTCCTTGACTCTTACCCTGGAAGGCAGGGCATGACTTTTGGTTCTCAAGACCTAAAGAGGAAAACTCTCAGAACGACCTAGAAGATCCTCTCCACTCGAAATCATCACCACCATCATTTACTTCTCCGCTCTACTCTTCCGCCCCTCCCCGACAAGATGGCAGAGGGGTACAAGCAGAAGAGTTCCTGGGCTATGCGCACATGATGCAGGAAGGGGACACACTCACCAGAGCGTCCACAGTCTGCACAGGACACCAGCTCTTCAGGCCGCCCACTCTTCTTGTTCATGTTAGAGCCCCCCAAGCAGAAGTCACAGTAGTTATTGGGAATGACCGTCCCATCTGGTCCTTTCTGGGCTGTGGAAACATTAAAACAAATTCCAATTTTAGGCTGAGATGTGTTCCTACTGCCCCCTCTTCTCCTCCCACAGTGTGGCAGAATCCACTCCAGACACAACATGAAGTTTAGGACATAAGGGTTTGTTACAACCAAGTTGTGATATTAGGCAGAGTGTTCTTTTGGTTCCTTCTTGGTTCAATGGTATTAATGCCTTCAAGTCTTCCAGAGTTTAATTTCTGTAATATTTCCCAGCGATTTTTATAGAAACCGCCTTGCTCCTCTGATCACATCTCTAGATAAACAGTCCATCCAGAAGTACCGCTAGTCAAGTGAACTTCTATCAACCTTGAACAAGCAGTCCTCAAGCCAAGACCCCAAACATCAGATGGAAACCATAAAGAGCAATGGCTGGAGGAGGAGCAACAGTCAGTGCCTGGATCTTGCTTTAGAAAAAAAAAATGTTCTCGTGTAGGAAATAGTCCTCCTCCTGTCCCTGAAAAGGAAAATAAAGAAGTATGACAAGTAGCTGGTTATTTCCTGAAAGCACACTGGCGAAGTTCTTTGGGAATCTGATGGACACCTCGGAAGGCACACAAGTATCTGTTCTTATTCAGCCTCCTCTCCCTGAAGACTCATCATTCAGAAGAAGCACTGGGATAAGTTAATGTGCACAGCCCAAGTGCCTAGAATTAGAACTATACACAAGTTTCCCAGGCGCTTACTCAGTCTCATGCCAGAGATGGGCCAAATGGAGAACATTTGAAGGGTTAAACGATTAGTATTGGAATATTAACTCTATAACTAGCCCCTGCTGAGAGTCCTTAAACAAAGACAAAGAAAACTTTTGGATCATGACCTCAAAAACAAAGCTTTGGAAGAATAGCACATGTCTTTGGGAACTTCGAGGGGCTGGCTGAAAAGCCTCAGACAGTTTCTTTGCATGGGAGAAATGCTTCCATTTTGCTCTGTTTCTTTCCTCCTATCATGGGCATTCATCCCATTTGCACTTCCTGTTTGCGAATAAAAGGAAAAAATAACCTCTCCATTTGTGGGATCAGCCTTAACCGCTATCTCCCTCCTCCTTGGCATCCCCAACACCTGCTGCTACCTTTCATTATTCACTGGCTAATACTAATCAGGGTCCCGAAGGGTACAAATCTGTAAAAGAAAGCAGACATGTGAGTAGAAATACCATCCACACAGTAAGTGATAAACAGATTCACCCACTTTAATATGATTCCCTCTGGCCTTTGCTTCCTCCATGCCTCTGCTTTGCCTCCAGGAATAGAAAACTTACCTGGGGAAGGCGGAAGACAAAAGCTAGTGGAATCATATTAGGGAGGGTTAATCCATTTATCAGTTGCTATTTGGATTGTTTAATCAGTTTCTAAGTCATTGATTTCCATCTTCAGGGAGGCAAACAATTCTCTGCAAAGAAAGGGTCGGCTGTTTGGGGGAGGCAGAGGAGCTGGCCCACCCCCTGAGGTCTGTAGAGTATGGGCTTTTCTTCCTCTGCCGCGAGAGCTCAAAGACATCTGCACGGCATACAGAATAGGTTTACAAATAATCTCACAAAACCAGTGCATCTGACGAAAACATTACTCTGCCTGTAAAATGTGTTTTGCCCCAATCCAGAAGTACCAGCATCCCTCTCTTCCTTCTCCTTCAATTGCCATCTTCGCCTTTCTAAGAACATTCCTGAGAAAATCCAGTCATGTCTAGGAAGCAGGAACACACAGGCTTTCCTCACCAAAATGTAAGTGGAAAACTATCGAGTCGTGAGCGTAAATCAGAGGTGGAATGTATAAAATTGGGGGCTAGAGGTAAACCAAAGCTAAGTTTCATGACGGACAGGAACTAGATCTCAAACGTTCAGATGCCCGTCACAACTGATAATGCTTCCTGCATGAAACCAATTAAAGGACCCCACGTATATCACTCCAACAACTCTCAGGGGGCCCAGGTTCCTCCTCTGTCTTTCACCCATACACCTAGGGACTTCCTGATTTCCTGGCCCTTGAAAAATCCTTAAGCAACCAAAGACTCTGATTGTCTCCACCGTACTCTATCCCCTGTGACATATGAAAATGAAGTACAATGTACAGTGTAAGAATGTCCAGATAATTACTTACAGTATTCACCACCAACAGACTATTGAGTGAAGAACTCCAATAGAGCAAGAAATAAAAACTCAGAAATGATCTAGTAGAGCAAAGCAGATAGTGATATAGGAAATGATCCTATGTAAAAAGACCAAAGGAGCAGAATTTAATTTATCGGAAGAAAAGAAGTTTCTAATGAGACAGAGTTCATGCAAGGTCCCCACATCTGTGTTGGTTGGTGGCTATACAAAGCGCCCATTCCGGGTAGGCAGGGAGATGTAAAACCCCACCTGGTAGCCCCGGTGTGTGCAGCTGTGACACGCTGGGCAGCAGATACACTTTGGTCTAGCAATGGACCAGGACAGAAAGTGACAGCAAACAGTTATGCTTTATTTTCAAAGAAATCATTTTTATTTCAGTGCCGACTCGCTCCTTGACACAATGAGCTCAAAGCATCCTTCCGTCATGATAAAATACCGCAGAAGAGACTAACAACTCTGCATCTGACTCTTGCACACATTTTGGTGTTTAGAATTGGTGTCAGAGTGAGGGTTCACCCATTGAACACACCCAATTCCCAGCTAGAAAAAAGCAGTCATGCTTTGGGGAGGGAAGTCTGCTGTCATCATGCTTAGGACCCTTCTCTTGTTGACACATGTGTGCCTTATCTCCCATACTAAATGATCTGCTCCTCCAAGCCCAGAACCACGTCTCACTCATTGCTTGAACATCTACCTGTCTTGTATGCTGGACATGGTTACCAACCCTTTGTAGGAAGAATGGCGTAGAAATGGATGGCAGAGCTATATAGACATGGCTTAGAGAATAAAACTGAGCATGCATAAGCTATGTGCAAATACTATTCCACTTTACTTGAGAGACTTGAGCATCTGCAGATTTTGCATGCTATCCATATTCTTCTTGCTCTTGCTGTCACATGAAGATGCCCCTGGGACCTCCTCCTTGTGAGGACAGAGTACTGTGTGTGTTGTCCCGGGGGCAGAGCTACCTGTTGCTCTGAATATCATTTACTGCCATTGCTTTATTTCTCAATTCCTCAAAGACAAGAGCTGGCTGGGTTGGTCATCTGACCTGGATTCAAGGCCAGCTCCCAGAGTACACAGATGTAGGTAGCTGAGGGCCATAACTCATTGTCTCTTGAGAAAGAGATACCATGGGGCTGGAGATTTAGCTCAGCAGCACAGTGCTTGCCTGGCAAGCGCGAGGTCATGAGTTCAATTCCCAGTACCAGGAAAAAAAAAAACAAGAAAAAAAAAAGAAAGAGATACCAGGTCACACCTACCCACTCAGCCTCCATCTTGTTCACCTGCTTGCTGAGAAGCAAAAGAAGCAGGTGTTCATTACACAACTCCAACAAAGCTCATGCTGGATGAGCTGCATGCACTGTTTCATTGATTCCTACAGAATCTTTGTGAAGCAGAAATTATTTGACACATGGGGCCATTGATACCCAAGAGATTAAGGTGCTGGCTCCAGGTCTTAGTTACAAAGAAGGAGAGACAGGATTCACCCCGGTCTGTCTATGTCCTGAAAGATTCTACCTCTAATCACATTTGTCTGCCTCCAGGGAAGTCCAGAGGCAAACACTTCCTGGCCATATCTTGCATATCAAGTATTTCATAAATCTCTCTACAGTCAACCTGATTCACCCAATATGCTATTTACAAGGCCCAAAGTGATAAAAAAAATTATTGAGATTGGCCTGATAAAAGCAGAAATTCCTTTTGAACTTAACATCCCTACCACAGTAATCCATCCGGGTGACCCCATTTATTGTCATACAGTCTGTGAAAACACTTCTCTGGAGAATTCCAGAGGCTCATGAAGGAATGTTTTTAAGTCAAGCTAATACCATGGCTAGATTGGCCTATGGCCTGACCCAGCCGTGAGCAATTTCCTGGTACTGTACATGAGATCATTATAAAAAGGATTTTACTATAAATAGGAAGCTCGCCCAGACCTTGCAAGCAGGATTTAAATAGAGATCCTGCTTCTGCTTATGGGAAATTGAGTCCCGCTTTATAGAATAAGATGACAGGGAGGGCAAAGACCCGAGTGGTATCTCGAATGCAGAGTCCATGATGATGGATTTGGTTTACTGTTGATTAATGTTCATGGGCTGAGATCATAGAATAGATACAAGGAAGCGGCTGAGAAAATAAAGTAAGCCTTAAGAGTTTAGGAATCTACCTGGGGGAGATGACTCAAAACAGTTCAAAGGGAAAATAGAAAAGGGAAATCAGGTACAAAGTTCATGAAGAAATGCCGAAAAAATAACAAAAGGTGGGAGGGAGGGAACATTCAAATAACTCAAAGCAAGAGAAAAGAAAAGCTAAGCCTCGAAGAGTCTCACCACTATGCTCAGGGAAGGGAGAGCAGGCATTCTAGAAGGGAATTAGTGTGCGCTACAGGAGATTTTCGTTTAATCGGGACTTATATCTATGGTAAATAAGGCCGCAAGTCTTCCATAAAACTACCACGCAGGCAGAGCTATCTTTCCCCCTTTCAGTTCAGTCTCTGCTGCATTATACCTACCACTTATGGAAAGAATGAACGGCATGGATTGGATGGCCCTCACAGCAGCCCCTCACCAAGGTTCTGTAGAGACCAGACCTGCACCCTCTTTGTCCCAGGGAAACAGGAAGCAGGCCGGAAGTTGAGGCTCCTCCTTGGCGCGCGCCACGCGCACACACGCACGCACACACACACGCATACACACACACACACACACACACACACACACACACACACAAGACATGGCCTCACATTCTGAGCAGACCGTGGACCTGCCTGCCAGGGCCTGGGGTTCACAAGCACACAGCCATACTCAGGACCTCCCAGCCAGTCCCAGCCCCTGCCCCAGCTCAGTAGCTGTTTATCCAGGGCCCTGTAGA